AGCAGGGCAGTGTCACTAAGAAATCAAGTCACTGATAACTAGAAGAATATGAACTTCTACTGCTGAATAGTTCAGTCTTCATCTCTTATAGTAGAGTGATGTATCAGGAGTTATTGAGAATTTATTATAATAATTCTCATGTGAGACACTTTGAGTTAGAGAAGACTGAGAAGCTTCTAAAATATAAATATATTTAAGACAAGCTTCAGACAGATGTTAAAGAGTATATTAAGACTTATAATATCTGTTAAAGAATAAACATTCTGCAGTATAAGTAATACAGTAAGTGAGTATCACTGTCTATTTCAAAGAACTTATGACAGAATCTATCAATGAATTTCATAGTTGATCTACTGAAGTTGACAAGAGTTAAAGAATATAACTCAATTTTAGTTATTATTAACTACTTCATAAAGATAATCAGATATATTTCTACTTATAAAAAGATTAAAGCCTCTGAATTGACTGACCTGTTTTTAGATATCATTATTTGTAATCACAGTGCTTTAAAATCATTGATAATAGATCAAGAATCTCTCTTCATCAGTAAATACTGATTGACTTTTTACTATTATCTTATAATAAGATGTCTTCTCAGTATTACATTTTATTCACAGACAGATAATCAGACTGAACATCAGAATCAGACACTAGAACAGCATCTTCAAGTATTCTATTTATATTATCAGAATAATTGACTAAAACATCTTCTGACTACTGAATTCATATATAACAATGCAAAGAATGCAATCTTAAAGATATCTTCTTTTTATACTTATTATGAATATAATTCTTTATTACTCAGTGACATTGTGAATGATGTTTCAAAGAGAGAAATAGACAGTCAGAATATTAGACAGATACAGAGAACAGAGTATTTCTCAGTGTTAGAAGTAAAAGTGAGATTGAAACTTTTAAATAAAATTTATGAAAAGACAGTGAAAAGCATTCACTACACTCAGAAGTAGTAGATAAAATACTATAATTGAAAACATCTTTTAATGAAGTTCTTGATAGAGAATCAAGTACTACTTTCAGCAAAGAATATTAAGATAACAAGATTATATAAGAAGCTTAGTAAGCAGTGACTAGAATCTTTCTCAGTAATAAGAATGATAAGTAAGCAGACATATAAGTTGAAATTACTTACAGAATTAAAATCAATTCATTCTGTTTATCACATTTTCTATTTAAAGCTTTATAAGTAATACTCTAAAATAAAGCTGTCTCAGCTGAATAATATCAAGATAGAGAACAATACTGAATATCTTATGAAGAAAATATTGAATAAGTGAACATATTATAGTAAGCTTTAATATCTTGTGAAATAAGAAGAATATTCATTATCAGAGAATTTATGAAAACTGCTTAAATATTTGAAAAATACTGAGAAAGAGATTGCAAGCTATGAGACAGCTAGTAGAGATTATCTCATTACATATCAGAGATGTTGAGTAAGAAATACTGCTTAAGACTTCTCATTTTTCTTAAAGAATTTTTTAGAGATGATTTTATAATGATGAGCTAATGTCTTATAGACTCTATAACACTCTTGTTCTATTTTCTCTCAAAGAGTTTTTTAGAAGTTTAATAAGACTACACAAGTGTAACATTTCTGAAGTGATTAAAGAAAAGAGATATTTGAAATCAATAAAAAGATTAATATTATTAACTCACAGACTACTGCTAATCTAATAAAGCTGCAGCCTGCTGAAAAAGTAAAAAGAGGGAATTTCAGAATCTACTTATTAACAATCATACTCTCATTAAACTCATTCTTCATCATTGAAGTCTTCAGCACTGATATCTTTGTCTGTTGAGAAGTTAGTGCTGTGACACTGCAGAAGAGCATGAGAAATACATAAAATATTAACTTATCAACTTACAAAGCATCTCAGTCATCTGCTTTAATTGAAGTGAGATTCTCTTCAATCAGTGATTAATCTCTGTGATACTTTCAACAGTGATACTAACTGATCTCTTCTTGAGATCAGTTATTCTGAGATGTTTTTTCATCTTAGAGACTCATGCTTTCATCTTCTTTTACAGATGAGTAAGAGAGATCTTCTCAGTCTTGACAGAATTTATTAACACTTGAAGCTCTGAGACTCTTGCTCTGTACTGCTTAAGCATCTAGACTTCTTATCAGAGCTGACACAATGTCTTTCTGTAAGATAATACTTACAGAGAGACAGGAGTTATTGTTACAGATGTAACAGAAATAACAGAAGTGAAAGAAGAAGTGAGTATATAAGATCTTCTTCTTCTTCAGCTGCTTGACATAGTGCAGATAAGTAGCAGTATCAGTCAGAGACTGCACTGAAGCCTTTTCACAGAGAGAAGATAAAGAAATCATGAGACTCTGCAGACTTAACTTAACAGCATCTCAAGCAGAGCTCAGATATGCTGTGAGAGAGAAACTACAGATTAAGCTTCTCAGAGTCACTGTTTTCAGAATCAAGCTCTCTCTGAGGTTCTCTTCAAATGATCACATGAGGTCATATGCTATCATGTTGATTGAGAGAAGAAGTGGCATTGCAACAGTGAAGAGAAAGGCAGAGAAAGAACTGAACACAGACAAACTGATCAGCAGAAGAGACAACATCTCACTGCAAGGCACAGTGACTATCACCACAGCCATAAGAGATATAGAAGAAGAAGAAGATGTGGCAATGAAAGTGATGCTTCTGCAGCTCATTGATGCCACTGTCTCTGTCTTCAACCTGACTTTCTTAATAGCCACAGAGGCTGCAGCCACATCATGAAGATGTTTACTCACTAGAAAACATCAGAATAAGTTCTTTATTATTCTTCAAGAACAATACTTTCATACACTTACTATTACAATTGAAGAGAGAGAGAAAGAAAAATATTTCACAGAGAGAGAGATCTTTTCAAAAAATTCTATTACTACTGTTAACTTTATCTCTAAAATACATCACTTTTACAGAGAATTTTATATATAAAATGAAATATAATAAGAGATCTGTAAGTCACTTGTTAACTATATTTTTTATATTCTAAATTGATATATAAGAAACTCACTTATCACATATTTAATTTAAATGAAGATGAGTAAAGAAAGATCTACACAGTCAGTAGAAAAAATCATCTATTTCTTTGTATCACATGCAGTATATACACTGTTAATCAGTTGACAATTATTACTATATAATAAAGATAATTTCTAATCCAGTAATCTTGAGAGTATAGAGACTATATTCTTAAAGAAAAGAGCATTGTCATACTCTTAGCTATGTCAAGACTCTGTTGCAGTTTTACACAGCTTATTACTTTCATATGAATGATTTTATTCATTCTGCAGACTGTCTGAACTGATTTTTAATCACTCTATGACATTATTCAGATGTATTATAGAAAGATCTGATTGATGAATATGAGAATCTCACTTCTATATAAGGTCAGTAAATTACTCTTTCTTGACAATGAGATGTTACTGAGGTATTACTTCAGCTATTCACACTTATGAAATGAAAGAAGAGTATTCACTCATTGTTTATATAAAATAGCTAGATACTGACTTCTTATCAAAGAAGTCAGTGATTTGTTTTTTCATCTACTAAAATATATATAAGAGTTACTGTATGTCTCATACAATTTTCTTAGTATACTAAGTATCATATCTGTGATATTCTCACAATAACTCTGTAGCCTATGAGCTCACTATTCAAGCAAGATAGTCAAGCTCACTCATACAGCTTCTTAACAACTACCTCTATGTGACACCGCTGACTAGCCACCGCTTCAGTTCCGCTATGTTATATTTAGTCTCATTTGATCTGATCCCATACATTTCTTGGCGTGAATCCCGCTGGGACTGACTATCAAAAAAACATGTAAAGTGACTATATATCAGATCTTAAAATGAAACCATGACTTGAAAAAAATGAGAAAGTGATTTCATTTAATCTTATTTAGTCTCATTCTTGGCATAAAGTTACTATTTTTAGAAATTTTAAGGTTTTTTTTAGACTATTTTTAATTTTTTAAAAAGTAATGCTTTTTGATAATACTCAAATGAGATTTAAAGTCATTTAAAGCAATAAAAATAATTTGAATTGAGAAGTGGAAATCATGGTCTCATTTGAAAAATATGATAAGATGTAAGAATAAGTGCTCGCAGGCGATTATTCAGGTATTTGCAGCTTGGCGTGATATGTACTGTTAACTACTAGAAGTATTTGTGATAGGAAGATAAAATGTAGAGGTCAAATGTATAATAACATTCAAGCTGAGCTATGAATAGTATTCGTGAACTCCAGTCTATATAGTTGTGTGTAGCCAAGGGCCGCTAGCTCTATTAATTACATGAGAGATAGAAATAGAGGTAAAGAATTCACAAGAAGTGAGATTTCTTACATACCCCTCTCTCTCTAAGGCTTCATCTGTGAAGCCTTTCACTGAGTGACTTCATAGTCAGCTCAGCACTGCAGTGATACTCACTAAAAACCCTTCACATCTATAAAAAACCTCAGTGAGGAAAAATCCCTTGTTATTATAAAGAGAAAAGAGTCTGTCACTCAGTTTCTTATTTTATAAGATTCTTTATAATCTACAGATTCTTCTCTGACTATCACACAGATTCATCTCATACCTTTCATACAGAAGAGTTTCAGTTAACTCTCAATTATTTTCATGAGATTCTTATGTGATCATCACACAGATTCATCTTACAGATGAATCACTCTCTGTGAGATCACTCTCATCAAAGAGAAATATTTGTAAGTTAATCTTTCACTCATTCTCACAAATCATTATTCTTTAACACTGTAGAATTATGAGGAATTTTTCATTCTTTCATTAACTCTGTAGAATTATAGAATCAAGATGTTCACAGTCTACAATCATTCTTTATAGTCACATAGAAAGATTCAGATCTGTAATTCATAATCACTCTTGTTTACTGAAGTGATCTGACTGTTTCACAGAATCACTCATAGTGTAAGTAAACCTCTCTAGAGTAGTATAAATATCCCAGATCTGTCTGCAGAACTTCATCTTCTTTTTTCTTTTTCTATAACAGCTCTTATTCTTACAAACTGTGAGTATTCTCATTCATCTGTGAAGTGTTTTCACTCAGATAATAGAGAGAGAGTGTTTCTGATAATATCTGTATATTAATTCAAGAACTTCTCAAGAATAAAAATTTTTTTCAATTTCAATCTCTTCACAAATAATGTCTGGTCACTGCTGAGCTTCTTATGAGTGTTCTCACAACTTCTCTGATCACTTTTTACTGGCTGATGAAGCAGAGACATCATCACTTACAACTGCATCTTCATCTCTTTCAGCCCTGCCACTGCACTCAATCTTCAGACTAACAGCTAATCTTCTATCTTTCTCAGATCAGTCTCTGACTTCAAGCAGTGCAGTCTTTCTCTTTGCTGTAAGTCTTCTTATAAGTAATTTCTTACAGATTCTAGCTGACAGTTCTTGTGAAGCTTCTAGTGTTATCAGTGTCTTCTACAGCCCTGCAGACCTATGATTATCTCTTCCCTGCTCACACAATCTCTGATCAGACATATGTGAATATGTCTAGATTTTCTATCAATGATTCTCACACTGCAGCACATTTCTGTAATTTCATTGTTAATAAAAGATAAGTCTTCAGGTATCTGCAAAATCTGAGTAATTAAGACAATGTGAATATCATGAATTCATGATAAGAGTTAGTCTGAGCAGATGAGCTTTCTCTTCATATTCTCATTATTTCCAGGCTGAATACTTCAGCATAACTGAGAGAGCAGACACAGCTTTGTAAGAAGTATCTGATTATATATGCAGATGATTAGTCTTCAAGACTCTGCTACAACTACACACACTCTGATGTTCAGCTTCTCTGAAGTCTGTGCATTTCTGACAGTCTTCACATCAAATGCAACAATTGTCTGTATCACAGATATAATACTCTCTGCTTCTTTGAAGAGAGAAATTAATAGTTGTGAGAAGATTGAGAATGTGAGTGTGGATTTTCTTTGTTTTTTCTTTGTTGATCTCTAAATTGTGTTCACAGCCCTGTTTATTTTCTGTTTTTTAACTTTAATGAGAATATGATTTCTTCTTCTCTTGTATACACTGCAGACTGTTCATCTCAGTAGAAACTCATCATCTTATAGACTAGAATTCATAAATGACAGTGTTAATGTCTTTATCATAACTAGGTTCTTAGCAAAGATCACATTATTCTGACTTATCAGAATTCATAGTATGAAAGTCATGTCTCAGCTTCTGCAGATGTCTTATCTGCTCAGATAATTCTTAAGTGAACTCATTCATCTTGTCAGAATATTCTTATCACTGAACCTTGAATCAGAGCTTATAATCTCACTTCTCTGAGTTAACAATTTCTTTGATCTGATATTCTCTTTCACTCTCTAGTACTTCATGAATAGAGTGATGAGTCACAGAATTCTCTTCTGAGAATTTCTTATATTTGTAGAGTAAAGAGACATGAAAAACATTGTATATTTATAACTCAGATAACAGTTTCAATCTGTAGAACTGCAAGCTAACTTTCTTTACAATCTTATAAGACTCTGTTCATAAGAGATTCAGCTTCTTACTAGATCTCTGCATGATGATGTTTTCTAGACTTAGTCAGACTCTATCATCTTTCTTGAAACTCTTTATAATATGCTTGAAGTCATAGTATCTCTTCTGATACTCTTAGGTCTTTCTCAAGAATTTACAGGCTTTCTCCTGAATCTCCTGAATTCTCTCAGCCTGTTCACAGGCATCATCACACTCTATAGTGTACTCTTGCAGATTCATCAAGATCATCTGCAGATGAGTCTTAGTGAGCATCTCAAAGAGGATTTTATCTGTGCTGACATGCTTTGAGTTGTTATACACAAACTTTGTAAGTGATAATCAATGCACTCAGTCATTCTGATTGTAATTAACAAAGCATCACAGATACTGTTTCAATATACTTATCAGACATTCTGTCTGTTCATCTATCTGTTGATGAAAAGCTGTGCTTAGATCTCATGAGATCTTCAGTATAGTTATCAGATCAGATCAGAACTCTTCTACAAAGATTGATTCTCTGTCTGAGACAATGTTCACAGATAACTCATGCAACTGAATCACATCACAGATGAAGATATAAGTTAAATTCTTTGACTTCAAGTCCTTGCAGGTGAGTATAAAGTGTGCTATCTTAATAAAGTAATTCACTATCATCAGCACACTGTCAAAGCAGACATCATATATGTTCTTACTTTCAGAGAGACTCACAAGAGCATTCATTCCTAGCTGTTTTCAAGGTTCTCACAGAATGAGTAGAGGAGTAAGTTCTTTATATAATCTGAATCATACTACTCATGAATTCTGACAAATAGTGTAAGAATCTACTATCTTCTTTATAAGTTCTTGTATCTTCAGTCAGAAGTATTTTCTTATAAGCAACTCATGAGTTCTAGTATCTGTAAAATGACCTGCTAGAGAAGAGTCATGATACCTTTTAATAAGTTCTATGCATAGAAACTCATTCACAGGCACATAAATCCAGTCCTCTCTTCACAAGAGATTATTTAAGTCTCTTTAATTCTTTATTTCTGCAGAATTGATCCCTGCTATGAGCAGTTTTCAAATATACTGAGCATATTCATTCTTCAGTTGCAGTTCAGACAATCTGAATAGAAGATCTTATGAAGACTTATACTCTATTTCTTCTTACATCAGGTCTTCTACAGCACTTCTCAAAGCCTGTAAACTCTTCAGATTATAGATACTCTCTTCA